GTGCGAGTGCGAACAGGCTCCTGCAGCAGCGCGTCGGTGTGAGTGCGAACAGTGAGAAACAGTGTCAGTGTCTCTCTTACGTAGGTCAGCTTGCACACAGCATTGGCCTTGACTGCGATGTTGTCCTGCTTGAGCTCCTGCTTGATCTCATCAATACAGGTGGAGATGTACTTGGCCTGCAGACAGAGAGACGGGAGGGAGACAGTCAGTCAGGGCAGGACACTGCACTCCACACTCTGCTGAAGTCACCGTGTTACACGCTGCAGCCTCTGTGCCATTCTGAGGACAAGCAGCGGAGCCACAGCGGCAACGCAGACAGAAAAAACGGACAGAGACAAGCACAGAGCTAGCTGTACCCATCCCAGATCGCAGCTCTTTCTCAGTTACAGTCACAGAAATTAATGCTGCCCTCCTGCTGTGCTTTACTTAAGACAGGGTTAATCACATCATGCAGATGTTTAAAAATTGGCTCTGTCTTTCAAAGGAAAAAACAGGCTTATTCACACCACATTTTACAGTATAGGCAGACCCTCAGTGCACAGCAGTCTCATCCACTCCAGATTGTGGTGTTACCAGACACCCAGGGCACAGCAGTCTGATCCACTCCAGGTTTTAGCATTGTCACACTTGGATTAGAAGGGCTGATCAGTCGTCAGAGCCTGCAGCCTCTGTTTTAGCCACTGTCACAGGGGAGATGCGTGCTGTTAATACTGTCATGTGTCTCCAGTCATGAGACTGACAGGGAGACAGAAGAGTGTGAGAAAGGGAGAGCGAGTGATAACTGCTGGACAGGACAGTCTGACCAGGACACTGCTCTGTGGTTTTAGACTACAGGACAGTGCATGATATAAACTGCACAGACAGGGCACATATATACTGCCAGCAGCCATATCACCCTTCAACTCACAACTGGCAACCCACTGAAGCTAAGCAGGTGTGAGCCTGGTCAGTACCTGAATGGGAGACCTCCTGGGAAAAACTAAGGCTGCTGCTGGAAGAGGTGTTAGTGTGACCAGCAGGGGGCGCTCACCTTGCAGTCCATGTGGGTCTTAATGCCCCAGTATAGTGACAGGGACACTATAGTGGGGCACTATACTGTAAAAAGGCACTGTCCTTCGAATGAGAAGTAAAACCAAGGTCCTGACTCTCTATGGTCTTTAAAAATCCCAGTGTGTTTCTCCAAAAGAGTAGGGGTGTAACCCGGGTTGTCCTGGCCAAATTTCCCCCAGACCTTTACTAATCATGGCCTCAGTTCTCTGAACTATCTTCATCACTCTGATCTCCTCCCCACTGAGAGCTGGTGTGTGAGGAGCGTTCTGGCGCATCATCCAGGTGGGGCTGCACATTGGTGGGTGTGGAGCGATCCCAATTACCTGTAAAGCGCTTTGAGTGGAGTGTCCAGAAAAGCGCTATATAAGTGTAAGCAATTATTATCATTATAATTATTATATTTCGCTATGATGCCACAGAAGAACAAAGAAAAGGAATTTCAGACCAGAAGCTCAGTTAACCGAGTTCCCTGTCCTCCCCCTGTCCACAGGAGTGCCGATCGTAGTTACAGTTCTACCCAACAGCCATAAATATTTCAGCGTCTCCACGGTAACAGACACGCGATCCCCCTGCCCAGAGCTCAGGTGATGCGCGGTCCTCCTCACCTGGGGAGCACAGCCAGCCTGCACGGATCGCTGGCCCACGAGCCGCCCTGTACTGCCCCCCTCGTGTGGCTGGTGCACAGGACAGCTAGAGGAGCTGGACAAGCCCGACACCTCCTCCAGAGTAACAGCAGTCCCTGGACAACTGCACGGGCACCAATATGGGACCTGTCGGCTTCCCTCAGCACTCAGCTGC